CCCCACCTTGGGTGCGGACGTTGCTTCAGTAAAGAAAACTTTAAAAAGAAAAAAAGAAAGACCTCCAGGGGACTGTTCCTGAAGGCTGGACAGACAGGGTGGAAATTGTTACTGGAGCCTAAGAAAAAGGTGACCCGTGTTATCTGGTGGTAGTAACACTGTCATCTTCAGTAAAAGAAATACCTGAACAACTTAGGAATTTGACTAAGAAGATTTCTAGGCAGAGTGTCAGAAGTGCACCTCATTTCTTTTCCCCACGTACGATAAGGTACAGATTCATTTTTTAGACAGAATCAAGAGTAAACATTTCCAAGTCAGCATTTGCTGGGTTGGAAAATAAAGCTGGTTTTCATTGCTAGTCTTTCCTGGTAAAAGAATATCAACTAAGAAATGGTCATGAGGCAGTGATCACCTTCAGGGTGCTGCCAGTAAAACATGCTCACAGGGTCAAAATATCAGGGCTGTGACTCTCAGGCTCTGAGACAGCAGAGAGACATTGTGATACTCCATCTTTCCGGCACCCCCGGTAATGCCAGCCTTTCTGCGGACCCCTCCATGGTGTCCTTCATGTGAGTGATGTCTCGTGTATCTTGGATATGTCAACTTAGTTGAGCCCCCAAATAACTGCAGCCCCAGCCAACATCACAAGGAGTAGAAGAACCATCTAGCTAAGCCCAGTTGATCCAAGAGTCTTTTAAAATAATAAAATGGTTTATGTTTTAGACCACTAAGTTTTGGAGTGGTTTATTATATAGTCACAGATGAGTGAGATGCTACTTATCGATCATTTGAAACTGAAGAGTAATAAGGAAAGTAATCTACAAGAAACTTACTGATGGCCTAAAATCAGTGGTGGAATAATAAGAATCAGTGGTTAACAATCTCCTTCACCCAGCAGTGCCATATTTTACTACCTTTCTTCCATTTACATTCGGTTTTACATAGTTATGATTATCATATGTATTCTTTTTGATCCTGGTTTTGGTTTGCCTGGGATCATGTAACATATCAAATTTTGTATATTAACATGTAGCTGTAATAAAGACCTACAGAGGTAAGGAGAACTAGAAATACCAGATCAAAGTAGAATTACAAGTTTGAATAATTGGCATAAATTGATGCTCTGGACCAATATAAAAGACCAAAGCAGGAGACAGTGGCCCAGCAAGGGATGGATGGGAGAAAATGATCACAGGAATGGTTTCAGAATTCATCAGAGAAAAGATTTCTGATGCTGAGGGGCTCTGGCTACACGGGAAATAGCATGCCAGCCTGTCAACAACATAGAGGATTAGTGATCAGAATCATAACCTTTTATTTTTAAATTTTAACTGTTTTATTTATTTTTGAGAGAGAGATAGAGACAGCACGAGCAGGGGAGGGTCAGAGAGAGAGGGAGACACAGAATCTGAAGCAGGCTTCAGGCTGTGAGCTGTCAGCACAGAGCTGGATGCGGGGCTCGAACCCACTAACCGTGAGATCATGACCTGAGCTGAAGTCAGACACTTAACCGACTGAGCCACCCAGGCGCCCCGATCAGAGTCATAACCTTGAACTTAACGTCTCAAGAGTTGGGAGAGCAACAGAAATTAGAAGGGTTCCAAGGACAACAAGCAGAAAGGGGGAAAAAAAACTATATACATGATCTACAGTATCTAAAAAATGCCCATAAAAAGAAATAAATAAGGGCACCTGGTTAAGCATTTGACTTCGGCTCAGGTCATGATCTCACAGTTTATAAGTTTGGGCCCTGCGTCAGGCTCTGTGCTGACAGCTCAGAGCCTGGAGACTGCTTTGGATTCTATGTTTCCTTCTGTCTCTGCCCCTCTCCCACTCCCACTCTCTCTCTCAAAAATAAATAAACATTAAAAAAAATGTTAAGAAATAAATATGCAACTGAGTAGAAATTAGCAAAGATCTGCACAGAAAATTCACAGATAAAAATATGAATGACCAGTAAACATATCCTATATGCTAAGACCCTCTGATAATCAGAAAACAATGAGATGCTATTTTTCTTATCAGTTAAAAAAAAGTTGATACTATTCAGCCATGAAGAGATTGTGGGAAAGCACGTCCTGCAACAGATGATAAAGGGATCATAAAATGGTACTGTTCTTTTGGAGGGAATTTAGAAATACTTATCACAATTTAAAAGCTGCATGTTCCTCCCCGTAATACAGCAATTCCACCACCAGAAACCTATCCTACAGAAATGCTCCTGTAAGTGCACTTAAATATATGTAAAAAGACATTCACTGAAGTATGTTTCTCCCTACTGGGATGAGAGTTTCATGGGAGTGGGAAGTTCGCCATCCACTCCTGTGTTGTCAGCAGTAGATCACTGCCTGGAGTATTATAGTAGGTGCTCAGCAAATATCTGTTGAATTGATGAATGGGACTGAAAATTGGAGGGGCGCCTGGGTGGCTCAGTGGGTTAAGTGTCTTACTTCACCTCAGGTCATGATCTCACAGTTCATGGGTTCACGCCCTGCATCACGCTTTGTGCTGATGGCTCAGAGCCTGGAGCCTGCTTCAGATTCTGTGTCTCCCTCTCTCTCTCTGCCCTTCCCCCACTCACGCTCTCTCAAAAATAAAATAAACACTAACAAAAGTATTTTTTTAAGAATGAGGTAAATTTACCTGTACTAACACTGAAAGGTGTCCAAAGCTATGTGTTTATTTTTTTTAAAAAATAATAGTAAAAAAATTAAAAACAACATAAATTTAGGGTGCTTGGGTGGCTCGGTGGGTTAAGGTTCCAACGTAGATCTCAGGCCAGGTCATGATCTCAAGGTTTGTGAGTTCAAGCCCACCATCCAGCTCTGTGCTAACAGTGCGGAGCCTGCTTGGGACTCTGTCTCCCCCTCTCTCTTTACCCCTTCCCTGCTTGTACTCTCTCTCTCTCTCAAAATAAATAAATAAACTTATAAAAAAGAAACAACATAAATTCCATCATTGGAGAACTGATACACTGGATTGTAATTTAAATAACTTTAATACTAGGTATCCATTTTCGTGTTGGCCTTGATCTCCATTTATTATTGTTAAAAGATGTCTGTGATACTGCCTTTCCCAAAGCAACAGCATTATGAACACTTAGTATATATCAGGATTATTCCTCCTAATCCTCAGAATTTCCACATGTGGTAGATTCTATCATTCCATTCTACAGCTGAGAGCATTGCAACACCGAGAAAGTATCTTGTCCAAAATTACACTGTGACAGAGCCAAGATTTAAACTCAAACAACGTGATTCCCGAGATTGTGTTCTTAAACTCTAGAAGGATAAAGTGACCATATGTTTTATGTCTATTGACTCAGCATAATTATTAACAGCATCCCCTTTCTTTTCAAAAAGTCCCAGACAGTAAATTTTATGGTCACGCTACCTACAGGACATACACAGACAGCATAGTGCAGTGTGTGAGTTCAGTTTCTGGATCCAAATTAAGGGCAATTGACTCAAACTCTCTATTTCAGTTTTTTCATTTCTAAAATGAGGGTAGCAGTTAACTGCCTCAAACAGTTGTGAAGGGACTCGATGATTTCATATTTCTTAAGTGCCTGGCACGTAGTACCAAATTGATTTTTAACCCTTTTATACAGTGTCTGCATGTGTGAGTATGTTTAATATTGAGCAGACACCCTGACAAACATTAAAAACTCATGTGGTTTCTAGGGAGCATCTTGCTTGCTATATGGTGGTGATAACCCAACCAATAGTGTGAATTTACATCGGACAACAGCAAAAGCCTTAAAACTGTTACATTAAGATGAAACTTAAAAGACTCCATTGCTCATTACCAAGTCAGATTAGATAGGGCGTCATTTTATTTACACTTTAAGTATAACCTAAGGGAACGCTTCAATTTCTGGTTTCTCAATTAACTATTGAATTACTTGGAAACAAAACACTTAAAGGACCCTGGCAATCTCTGGCCGGGGAAAAATGTGCAAGAATCGACGCGCGGAGAGAGTGCGGGGAGGGGGTTGGATTTTACCCCTGGACTCCGGGGCTGCAGGTGTTTTGCAGGCGGAATTCATGGCACGATCTCACAGTGAGCAGAAATCGTGGCTCCCCGTGCCCGCCTTTGGCAGCCTGAGAAGTAGCTTTTTACTTCCGGCTGGTTCTCCTTCATGTACAATTTCAAAACTGAGTTCTGTGGGTGAAACCAAACCCTGGGAATGAAAGTCAAGAAAGCGGTTCCCTTTGGAGGTGATTAGGTGGGAGGAGGAACCAGGAACCCTCGGGGAAGTTTCCGCGGACTGATGGGGGTGGCGTTTTCAGGGTCTGTACTGATGAGCCCAACTGATGCCCCTGACAGTGTAACTTTTATCTGACTTTTCAAAGTTACATTGTTGTGTTTTAGTTTTGTTACCGAGTTCTCTGGTCCCATTGATCTCTGGGAGCGCAAGAAGGCTGTTTTGCATTCATGAATAGAACTCATTTTCGTGGTCTGGCCCTTCTGATGCCATCCTCCACCCCCCCCCAACCCCACCCCCAGCTCCCTCCGCCACACACGGACCCCTGCAGGCTCCACAAGCCACCTAACCAGGCAGGTGTCAGGTGTAACTGTCCGGGCCAGAGCCTGCGCACAGGAATCCCATGCAAAGTAGAGAACGCCAGCGATCCTCCGCGCGAGCCGGTTCTCCGCGTCCCCGGGACTCGCCCGCTCCGCGCACCCTGCGCAGAAGGCGAGCGTCTGCGCCCCGGGCTCGGCCTCTAAGCCGCGCGCTCCCCGCGCGCACGCCCGGGAGCCATCGCCAGGCGCCCGGGCGAACCGCGCGCAATGTCAAGGCCAGCGCTCCCTAGCCGGCGCTGGCCAGCCGGTGTCCGCTAATCCGGGGTAGAAAATGCTTTGCTCGCGCGCGGGGCCCCGCGGTGCCCAGCCGTGCCCCGCCGTGCCCAGCCGTGCCCCGCCGCGCCCCGCCGCACCCAGCCGTGCCCCGCCGTGCCCAGCCGTGCCCAGCCGCGCGCCACGGAACGCCGACTCACCCCAGATCAGGTCGCACGATTTGAGTGTAGGTGTAGCACCGTCCCAGGATTATCTCGTACAAATGGGCGGTGGTGCCCGCCCCCTTCCACTCTTTGTGCTTGGGCGGCTGGTGCCACATCAGGGTGCCCACCACCGCCGCGATGACCACCACGACCAGAAGACCGAGAACCACGCAGAGACAGATCTGGGCTTTCCTGGAAATGTCGCAGCAGGGTTTCTCCCTGCTCACGGCGCTGAACCTGTGGTCGGCCATGGGGTCCGCTGGGGGCTCTGCCGCGCGAAGTCGCCGGAGAGGCCGCCCGTGGCCGGCCAGAAATCCGGGAGGCAGCTAGCCCGGTTCTGGAAGCGCACCTCCCCTTTATCTTGCACTTGCGGGTTCTCGGCTTCCTTTCCCACCCCCACCCCCTCCTGCAAAGTTCCTTGGCCGGCTGGACCAGTAAGGATTTTAAGGACTTGAAAGACCTCTACTACAGCGGCTCACTTCCAGGCTCCGGAGCAGACAAGGACCACATTTTGCATTTGCAGGGAGAAGCCGCCGCCTGAAGCTTTCTCCGCAGGCTCCGGGGAACAAACCACAATGTATCCTTATACTTCTCCACCAGCTCCCTCGTTCAACTTTGCACTTTTACCCTTTAGCCACACCCAATCCTGGAAAGCGTGAAGGCTGGCTGCTAAGCACTCCTTTCTGTGGCATGCAGGGAGGATGCTCTACCTCTACTTGGCAACCTTGACAAATGCCTGCTCAGCCCTCTTCAAAAGCTCCACTCAAGACTCATCCCTTAACCCAAGTGACATCAGTAATTAAACCCGGGTTCGAAGCCAGCTCCACGACTCACCACTACTGGAGTAATACCAGACAAGTTACTTGATCTCTCTGTGTTTCAGAGTTAAGACTGGGACAATAGCATTATCTACTTCATGGGGTATGATGCGGATTAAGAGCTCATATTTACAATGTGTTTAGCACAATGCCTGGCACATGCGAAGTACTCAGTAAGTGTTAGCTATTGAAACCTGCTCCGTGAGGGGCGCCTGGGTGGCTCAGTCGGTTAAGCGGTTATGTGTCCGACTTCAGCTCAGGTCATGATCTCATGGTTCGTGGGATCAGGCCCCATGTCGGGCTCTGTGCTGACAGCTCAGAGCCTGGAGCCTGCTTCAGATTCTGTGTCTCCCTCTCTCTCTGACCCTCTCCTGCTCACGCTGCCTCTCTCTCTCTCACAAATAAATTTTTAAAAAATTAAAAAAAAAAAAAAAACCTGCTCCGTGAGGCTATGAAAGGACATAGCTCTATAACCCATGGGATGTGCTTGGAAAAGTATCTGGCATGCAGTAAACACTCTAAGTGGTGGTTCAAGAACGAATTGAGTGGCTAGTCTCAGATATGCCTTGCCTGGCCTCTCTCCAGGTTCCTTAGCACTAAGACCTTCTGTGACATTCAGCAGAGACCTAAGGAAAGTGAAAAATAAAGTTGCAGGACTTTCTGGGGCAAAAGTTCTCCAGAGGGACTAGCATATGCAAAAACTCTGAGGCAAAAAAAAAAGCCCTTGACCTTGACCTGTTGCAGGAGCAGCAAGGAGGCCTTTAGAGCTGTAATGCTGTAACGCAGGGTTAAGGGAGACAGAACAGGAGACAAGTTCAGAGGCTAGCAGGGGGCTAGATCACTAATAGCCCTGTAAAACAGAATGAGGACTTTTTGGATTGTGAATTTTATTTTGAACCCATTCAAGGTCATTGGGTGACTTGATCAGGCATGACATTTAAAAAAATTTTTAATGTTCACTTATTTTTGAGAGAGAGAGCACGAGCAGGGAAGGGCAGAGAGAGAGGGAGACACAGAATCTGAAGCAGACTCCAGGCTACGGGCCATCAGCACAGAGCCTGACACAGGGCTCACACTCACAAACCATGAGATCATGACCTGAGCCATAGTCTGAGGCTTAACCGACAAAGCCACCCCAGGTTCCCCTGGCATGATATTTTAAATCCTTAATCTGGCTTCTGCACTGAGAATAAATTGTAGGAAAGTAAGGAAGGATGGAAAGATGGAGACCAGCTATGATGACTTTGTCCAGGAGAGTAGTAACAAAAGTGTCAAGGAAAATAATCAGTTGGATTCTGGATACGTTTTGAAAGTAGAAGTGACAAAGGATTTGCCAATAAGTCAGATGGGGGCGGGGGGTGCAAGAAAAAGGAGTCAAGAGCACTCCAGGAATTTGGGTCTGAGTAACTCACCAAAGGAAGAACAGCACTGCCATTTATAGTGATGGGAAAAGTGGAGGGAGATAGATGTGGTTTGGGGTGGGGGGGGAAAGGCACCAAACAAAAATTTGGTTTTGGAGGTAAGTTTGAGATGTTTACTAGACCCCCAGTAGGGGACATCAGGTAGCTTTTTGGGTAAAAATATCTGTAATTCAAGGGGTCAGTACTGGAAGCATAAATATGGGAGTCTTTACCATACAGAAAGGTTTTACTTATTTTTATTTTTTAAAGTTTATTTATTTATTTTGAGAGAGAGCTCAAGCAGCAGAGGGGTAGAGAGAAGGGGAGAGAGAGAATCCGAAACAGGCTCCACGTTGTCAGCACAGAGCTCCATGCAGGGTTGGATCTCACAAACCTGCAGGATCATGACTTGACCCGAAATCAGGAGTTATACACTCAACTGACTGAGCCACCCAGGAAGCACTCCATACAGACAGTTTTTAAAGCCAAGGGGATAAACAAGTTCAATAGAGAGTGTGTGCAGAAGTAGAAGTTTGAGAGACCCAGTCAGTAGTAAAGGTCAGAAAGATGAGGAGAGCTCCAGCAAAGGATGAAGGCCAGGGTGACCCCTGAGACAAAGCCTGACACCAGACAGGGAGCTATTGGTGCTCTGGAAAAGAGCAGTTTCAGAGGAAGATGCAGGACAAAGCCCGACGAGTGTTTCATAAGAGTGTGTGCAAGAAAGGTGTGGTGTCAGTAAGCTAGATGACTTGTCCTGAAGAGTTTCTGTCCAAAGAATAGAAAAATGAGGACATAGCAGGAGAACACCATGTAATCAGGAAAGAACATTCTGTCTGAGGAGAGATCTGTAAACTTGTGTCTGTGTGAGGACTGGATGACCCAAGAGACAGGCAGCAGCTGATAATGCAGAAGAGGGGGGAATTGCTGGGAAAAGCTTAAAATTTGCAAAACTCGTGTGGAGGTAAGAGGAAACTGAGTCACGGGGGTGTGTGGGTGGGAGCTCTGCTACGTCACGGAAGGAAGGTAGAGAACACAGCTTTAAGGATGAGGTTAGTGGGTTGGCTGACAGGGACATGTGGACATCCTCATGACCACTTCTCAGTGAAATGAGGTCATCCATCCACTGAGAGTAGGTAGAATTGCAAGAGACCAGCAGAGTGTATGGATGGAGTGGAGAAATGAGAGACATTCTCAGGGTGTTATTAAGTGGTCAAGAATTTAAAGAAAGGCCAGTCAGTGAGGGGGTGTTCTTTTCGCGTAACTACTCTCTGCTGCCTAGTAGAAAGGGCAAAAAGTAGGCAGAGAGTGAGATTTGATGAGGCTGGGGTTTGTTTGCGCGAGCAAACCCATAAAGCCACAAAGCCTGTTGTGGCTTAAGCAACAGAAATTTTTTATCTCACGGTTCTGGAGCCTGATATCAAGGTATCCACGGGGCTGATTTCCTCTGAGTCCTCTCTCCTTGGCTTGTAGATGACTGCCTTCTTGCTGTGTCTTCACACGGCCTTTCCTCTGTGTGTCCATTCCAATTTCTTCTTCTTCTTAGGATACCAGTTTTATCAGTTTATGGCCCACCTCAATGATCTCATTTTAACTAAAATTACCTCTTTATAAAGGCCCTATCTCCAAATCCAATCACATTCTGAAGTACTGGATGTTAGGACTCCAGCATTTAAATTTGGAGCAAAAGGGACACCCATCAGCCCATCACCCCAGGTAACTACAACAAAGCAAGGAAGGAAGAAATGATGGGATTTTAATAATGGACCATCTCTCCAAATTCCCACAGAAATTGAAGTAAGGGCAGAAGGAGGGTTTGAGACACTATTGAGGGTTTGAGAGCCCATGTCCAGGGAGGTCCTTATGAGGCCAAAATGTTGCTAGAGGAGGGAACATCTCCACTTACAAATCAATCCTTCCAAAACTGAGATGTTAATCTTCCTCCTTCAAACCAGCTCTCACCTCGTTTTCTAGTTGTTGTTGTTGTTGTTTAGGTAACCTCTATGTCCAATGTGGGACTTGAACGCATGACCCTGAGATCAAAAGTCACATGCTCTACTGACTGAGCCAGCCAGGTGCCCTCCCTTTTCTGGCCTTTTGAAATCTGGCAAAAAGAATTCACATCCCCACCCCATTGTTCAAATCTTCTGTGTTCCTTCTCCTCATCCCACACATCCACCTAGAAGTTGGTTCTTTCTGCCTAAAAGTTATTCATTAAGTATCCACTTTGTTCATCTCCACTACCACTGGCTTAGTCTAAGAAGTCCACACTCTTTTTCACTTAGGAAGAGCTCCCCACCAATCTCCCCAAATTAGCCCTCCTTAAAAGGGGTGACTCCCCTCTCAACAATAGCCAAAACATGGAAAGAGCCTAAGTGTCCATCAACAGATGAATGGATCAAGAAGATGTGGTTTATCTATACTATGGAATACTACATGGCAATGAGAAATAATGAAATCTGGCCATGTGTAGCAACATGGATGGACCTTGAGGGTGTTATGCTTAGTGAAATTAGTCAGGCAGAGAAGGACAAATATCATATGTTTGCACGTATAGGAGGATTAGGAGGAACTTAACGGAGAACCATGGGGGAGAAGAAGGGGAGAAATGGTGGGGGAAAGGGAGAGAGGCAAACCACGAGAGACTCTTGAATGCTGAGAAAAAACTGAGGACTGATGAATGTGGGGGGGGAGGGGGTAGATGGGCACGGAGGGGGGCACTTGTGGGGATGAGCACTGGGTGTTATATGGAAACCAACTTGACAATAAACTATTTGTATAAAAAAAAAGAAATCTCAAAAATAAAGTCAAATATGAATAATAAATAAATAAATAAATAAAAGGGGTGCCTGCCTTTTAAACCAACCTTTGTAAAGAAGTAACTTTTGAAATATCATTCTGATGACCTCACGCCTCCACTTGCTCTCAACATAGCAAGAAGTGCATAAGCTCCAGCCTACTTCTCCAGCCTTCATGGGCACGTCTCTCTCCAACCCCAGGCACTCCAGAACTGCCAGCCTTCTCTCTGTCACCAGCCAGTTCAAGCTCTTCCCTGACATGGGGCCTTAAGAGTTGCCATTATCTCTCCCTCCTAACTTCTACTGAGCTCCATGTGATGTCCTCAGGAAGCCTGTCCAAATCCCATGTAGTTTCCAAACTGGGTTCTGTCTCCAAATGGAACACTTTCCCAGCAGAAGAACACAGACACCAATAGATCTCCTGGGCAAGTACAGATCTCCAAAGCTCTGGTCTGGAGAGCCCAGCCCTGGAACACATCCTCTGAAAATGTTATCTAGACCTTCTCTCCCAAATAGACCAGGAGTTTGCGCAGGGCTAGGTTGGCAGGAATTGAAGCTTATTATCTTAGTATTCCAGGACTCAAAGTGGCATCCACAAGTGTTTATTGAATGAATACATGAATGAATGACCAACCAAAATTTTATTTCTGACACCCATTATTCTATCCTTTCCAAACTGAATTCATAGAGTTGTTCTCACAATCCCAGATCTAAACAAAATTATGCGTAAATGGGATGAAAACTGTTGGCTTCACTGAGGGTCCACTTCTCTGCTCGCTAGTCTTTGCCGTACTCTGTCTTTCTTCACACTCTTTTCCTGAGCACAGACTTCCATTTATATTAAAGACGGTGTAAAATCACTTCATGTGTAACAAAGCTTGGCACCCATTCCTTACTGAACTGAGCAGTCGAATATTATTCAGGCTTGTAAAACCTTGAAGAGCTACCACAAAACAGCCCCTTTAAAAAGGGGATTTATGGGGCGCCTGGGTGGCTTAGTCGGTTAAGCGTCCGACTTTCGCTTAGGTCATGATCTCGCAGTTCGTGGGTTCAAGCCCTGCGTCGGGCTCTGTGCTGACAGCCAGCTCAGAGCCTGGAGCCTGTTTCAGTCTGTGACTCCCTCTCTCTCTGACCCTCCCCTGATCGTGCTGTCTCTCTGTCTCTCCTAGAAATAAATAAAACATTAAAAAAAAGCGGGGAGATTTATTTTTGATAATAAATATACATGGAATGCAAGTCAAAAAGAACAAAGTGATATGTGTAGAAAATCACTCTTTCCCCTTCCCTGGACTTTCCTCTTACTATAGTAAGGAGCAGGCAGCACTCATACAGATACATACATACTGAGAAGCAAGCTTTCACCATTTCATAAAAATTATAGCATATCATACGCCCTGTTGTGCACCAGGTTTTCTTCACACAGTGATATACGTTGAGGACATTCTCTATCAGCACACTTTGCTCTACTTAATTCTATTAAATGACTTCTAGTATTCCATTATATAGCCTACTAAATTTTGTTTAACTAGACCCAATTTAACTAGACCTACTAAAGTCTAGTTAAGCACTTAGATTTTCTGCTCCTTTGTTATGACATAAAATTTTGGAATAAATATTCTTGTATCAGCAAATTTTTTTCACAGAGCCAAGTATATACACCCTTAAAAGTAGGTTTCCAGGGTCAAAGGCCTTAGACATCTAGACTTTTGCAGGATATTGGAAATCCGAAGAGGATGTACCAGGTGACACTCACACTAGCATTGCCCAAGAATACAGGTTTTTCCACACCCACACAGTTACACTTTCGGACTTGGCTTTGTCTTCATATCTGATTTTGAATCAGCAGTGATTTGGGAGCCCTTCAGCTTTAGTTTCTCCTTCTGCTAAATGTAATGAACATTTGGAAAATGGAATCTAAAAGGATCCTGAAATCCTTTACTCCTGCAAAGCCATTTGGCTTGTGAACCTTCTCACTTGGTATTTCTCTTTCTGCAAGTGAGGTGTTCAGCCACAAGTGTCAAATATTAGACTATGCCCTTGGTTATGGATAAAGATTCCAAATGCTCAAGAAAGTGATCACCCTCCCAGAACACCATTTAATTGTGTTCTGATTTGGGGCCAGTTGCACTTTTGAATTTCAGTTTTCTCTTCTGTAAAATGGTCACAGTGTAATGCCTACTTGTCAGGTTAAAGTAGGTATTGGGGCACATGGGTGGCTCAGTTGGTTGAGCATGCAACTTTGGCTGAGGTCATGATCTAACAGTTGGTGGGTTTAAACCCCACATTGGGCTCTCAGCTGTCAGCACAGAGCCTGCTTTAGATCTTCTGTCTCCCTTTCTCTCTGCCCCTCTCCCACTCATACTGTCTCTCCCTCTCTCAAAAATAAATAAGCATTAAAAAAAACTTTTAAAATAAAGCAGGGATTACCTGGATTAATAGACATATCTAAGACAGGCTAGGCACTCAACACATGGTAATATTGTTATTGTGGACTTATTTGCATATAGTCACAATACACTGAGGCTCCAAAAATGGCATATTCTACATTCATTCATTCAACCAATATTAGGGACCATGTGCCAGGCACCATGGTAGCTTGCTGAAGGGACAGAAATAGACTGGCCTTGAGGAATCCCTGTGTAGAGCAGTAAAAACACAGCCTTTCTGGTCAGGTAGACCTGAGTGGACTCTTCCACCTGGGCAAGTGAAGACACAGTCCTCTTTTGTAAAGTGGGCTTAAAAATATCTGTGGGCATCACTGAATTATTTTGAGGGTTCAATCAAGTGACATATACAGAGAACTTAGCTAAGTGTCTGGCATCTAGCAAGAATCCAACATATAAGTACAGTGGTCCCCCTTAACCACAGGGTACATTCCAAGACCCCCAATGGATGCCATTAGCACTGAACCGTATATATCCTATGTTTGTGCCTATACATACACACCTATGATAACATTTAATTTATAAATTAGACACAGTAAGAGATTAACAATAATAATGATAAAATAGAACAATTATAACAATGTACTGTAATAAAAGGCATGTGAGTGTGATCTCTCTCTCTCAAAATTTGTTATTGTACTATACTCCCCTCTCTTCTTATGATGATGCCTATGAGACCAGAGATGCAAGGAAGTGAATGGTGCAGGCATGTGAATAGCACCAGCCTGCTATTGACCTTCTGCCGATTTGTCAGAAGGAGCATCTGCCTCAGAACATGGTCACCACCAGTAAATGAAACTGGGGAAAGTGAAACGGTGGATAAGTTGGGGGTGGGGAGGGGGCTACTGCATAAGTAATGTTTGGGTGGCTATGTGCAGATAGGAGAGATCCCAATGAGTCAGAGAAAATTCTAGGAAGGCTTTGAAAAGGAAGTTACACTAGATCAGGCTATTGAAGGACAAGCAGAAAGGGGAGGAAGGCATTCAGACAGATCTGTATGGAACACTGTAGTGTAGATACTGAGATGTCTGGGGCACTAGAGGAGTGACTATCTCCAGGCCAATTGCTGGCTTACGGAAGTGTGGGTCCTAGCACGTGGGTTTCAAGCTCTCTTTGCTCCTTCATTAGCTATTTTTGGTTACTCTTTAATATAATTTGTTATCAAATTGGTTTCCAATCAACACCCAGTGCTCATCCCAAGAAGTGCCCTCCTCCATGTCCATCACCCCTTTCCCTCTCTCTCACCCCCATCAACCCTCAGATTCTTCTCAGTATTTGAGAATCTCTTATGGTTTGCCTCCCTCCCTCTCTGTAACCTTTTTCCCCCTTCCCCTCCCCTATGGTCTTCTGTTAAGTTTCCCAAGATCCACATGAGTGAATGGTTATCTGTCTTTCTCTGCCTGACTTATTTCACTTAGCATAATACTCTCCAGTTCCATCCACGTTGCTGCAAATGGCCAGATTTCATCCTTTCTCATTGCCAAGTAGTATTCCATCGTATAGATAAACCACATCTTCTTGATCCATTCATCTGTTGATGGACACTTAGGCTCTTTCCATGTTTTAGCTATTGTGGAGAGTGCTGCTATGAACATTGGCGTCCATGGGCCCCTATGCATCAGCAGTCCTGTATCCCTTGGGCAAATTCCTAGCAGTGCTATCGCTGGGTCATAGGGGAGTCCTACTGTTAATTTTTTGAGGACTCTCCACACTGTTTTCTAGATGGGCTGCACCAGTTTGCATTCCCACCAGCAGTGTGAGAGGGTGCCTGTTTCTTCCACATCTTTGCTAGCATCTATACTCCCCTGATTTGTTCATTTTTGCCACTCGGACTGGCATGAGGTGGTATCTCAGTGCGGTTTTGATTTGTATTTCCCTGATGATGAGTGACGTTGAGCTTCATTTCATGTGTCTGTTGGCCATCTGGATGTCCTCTTTGGAGAAGTGTCTGTTCATGTCTTCTGCCCATTTCTTCACTGGATTATTTGTTTTTCGGGTGTAGAGATTGATGAGTTCCTTATAGATTTTGAATACTTGCCCCTTATCCGATATGTTCATTAAGTATTTTTAAATCACTCAAGGAATACAATCACATTTTACAAATTGGAAAGAGAAAACAAGAAAAATTTCCCCATCTCCCCTTTTCCAAAACCCTAACCCAACTACCTTGAATATTTTGGTATCTTTCCTTCCAGCCTTTCTTTTAATCTTTGATGGCTTTAAAAGTAGTCATACTCTATACTATTTCATATTTATATATACATAGATAAATTTTTTAAAAATTTCTGCTCTTTCCACTTCACTGTGCATACATGGTTCCTGCCAGGCCATGTGTCCTCTCCCAAAACACTGAGTCGGGTTCAAATCCCAACTCTGCACCCCTTGGTAGCTTGAAGCTGAGTGTCTTATTCTGTAATCTCCCTGTGTCTCGGGCTATCTGTAAGAACTCGTAAAGCACAGCCCTGGCATAACCTCTTAGAAATGGGGCTTATGCCTCTCCTTACCCCTCCCACTTGAAGGTTGGCTCCATGAGAATAGGACCAGTGCCCATCTTTGCCCACCACTGAGCCCCTACCACCATATCAATGCCTGGTATGAAGCTGGCATTCAAGCAATGCTTTCAGAAAAACCAGTGACAACAGGCTGATCACTCATCAGAAACCAGAAATAAGTCCAGGGTCTTCAACAGACTCACCAGTTAAAACCCATCCATCAATGTCTGTTGTTCATCTGCTGAATAGTGAAGCACAGTGTTGAAAGGAAAAGAAGGGAGAGGCTAGGGTTAATTACATAATTCTCTTTCCTCCTTCAACAATAATTGCTAACACCATTGCGTGTCAAATACTTTGTGTACAATGCCCTACAGCAATTTCTGTCATGTAATCAGTTTATTATTTCCATATTAAAAATGAGGAACCAGAGACTTAAAAAGGTAAGCAATTTTGGACAATGTTGTTAGTCAAGAAGAGCTTTGAACCCAGACAATCTCATTTCAATACTGTCCAGCTAACACTACCTATGTGCCATTAGGCAACAGATAGTTAAAGGGCACCCACTATGTGCTGACAGAGAATTTGTGATCTAGAGTGGGGCATTCTGGAAATATATTCCTGAGCATGGGTCTGTGGCAACCATGAGGCTCTGAGTATCACTGAAAAGCTTGGGGTGGACCTGTTTTCCTAGGAAGGTGTTTTTCTTCTCAAGGTGTTTTAGACTTCCTCAAATTAAAGTTCTATCACCAAAAAAAAGTTTGTAGTGAATAGACGCTAAATATCAAAAACAACAGAGAACCACACTCTTTGATGTCAGTTGGCAATCTGGTTTTTTTCTAGTAGTCTTGTGAAAACGAAAGCTGTATGATTTCTCCTCCCACATCTAACAACTGAGCAGAGCTGAATTTTGTATTCACTCTTTATTCTGCATTTTTAAACCACACAGGAATTAGTAGAACTTTGCAGAATGCCGTGAAATGCTTTTCATACACTTGGGCATCACTGGTAGTCACAGGCTTACTTGTTTAGTTAATCTGGATAGAGGTTTGAGCGCATGAAAAGTCAACTTCTTATCCACTTTCTCAGTTCAGGCTAACCTCAACCTAACAGATCGAGTTACTTCTCAGCTCTCTCCACCCTCCCCTGTGTTACCTAGTTACTTGCTCTTCCTGAACTTTTGGGTAACAACTTAGATACCCTATGCCTTGGACACCTTTTATGAGCTTTCTCATTGCTGTCATTCCTGAGATTTCATACATCTTATACTTCCTGCTTTTATTTTTGGATTTGGATAGTTTCCTCATCTCCTTTTACCTTGTACTAGACTATAAATGGACTCTGAAACAGTCTTTTTCTTGAGTATGATTCCAATTACTAACAAGTCCCTGGTACCTAGCAGGCACTATAAACCTGTGTGTTGATGAATATCACACTTTAACACAAATCTTTGTTTTTCATTCACTTATTCTTCCATTCATGCATTACATACTCACTAAGCACCTTCTGTGTTCTGTGGACTGTATTAGGTACTGGGGATACAACACTTTAAGAAAATTCAATCCTAGGGCACCTGGGTAGCTTAGTCGGTTAAGCATCTGACTCTTGATTTGGGCTCAGGTGATGATCTGATGGTTTGTGGGTTAAAGGCATGCATTGGGCTCTGTGCTGACAGCGTGGAGCCTGCTTGGGATTCTCTCACTCACTCCCTCTCTCTGTCCCTCCCTTGCTCATGTTGTTTCTCATTCAGTCCTAGGGCACCTGGCTGGCTTGGGTCATGGGTTCAAGCCCCACATTGGTGTAGAGAAAGAAAGAAAGAAAGAAAGAAAGAAAGAAAGAAAGAAAGAAAGAAAGAAAGAAAGAAAGGAAAAAGAATAAACTTAAAAAAATTGTAATGGGGGGGGTCAGACCTGTAACAGACAAGATAAAAAAGTAAATCATAGTGTATGTTGTATGGGAGGTGGTGATGGGGGCTAAGACATGAAATAGGCAGGGGATGGCATAAGGACTAGGGGGAGAGTTACAACATCAGATGGAGGGCCAAGATGCTCTCACTGAGAAGGTGGCATCTGCGGAAGGATCTGAAGACAGTGAAATTACCACACGACATTCGGGAACACAAGTTGCAGCAGAGAGGGGCAAGTGCTGAACATCTGGCGTGTTGAGAGAGGAGCCAAGGGATGCAAGGTGCTGAGAGAGCAAGGAGGAAGGAAGATGAGAACAGACATGGGGCAGCATGTGGGCAGCAACAGCAGAAGATGTTCCCGGACTTGCATCTCATCAGACTCACTCTGACTCCTTGTTGAGAATAAATTGAAATGGGGCAAGAGTAGAGCAGAGAGACCACTTAGGAGGCTATGATGCCATAACCCAGACAAGAGATGACAGTGGCTTGAACCAGGTTGGCATCCATGGATGTGGTTGAATTTTGGATATATTTTTAAGGTAGAATTGAGAGAATTTGTTTAAATACTAAAGAGGCAAAACAAGAGGTCAAAGACAATTCCCAGGCTTTGGGCTTAAGAAAACTGGAAGGATGGGGGCACCTGGGTGGCTCAGTCAGTCGAGTGTCCGACTTCAGCTCAGGTCATGATCTCGCAGTTTGTGGGTTCGAGCCCCGCATCAGGTTCTGTGCAGATAGCTAAGAGCCTGGAGCCTGTTTCAGATTCTGTGCCTTCCTCTCTCTCTGCCCCTCCCCCGCTCATGCTCTGTCTCTCTGTCTCAAAAATAAATAAACTATAAAAAATTTTTTTTTAAAACTGGAAGGATGGAGCTGTCATTTACTGAGTTGAGGAAGACTCTGATAGAAGAATTCATTGGGGGCAGGTTAAATTTGAGATGCCTATTACATACCCAAGTGAAAATGTTGAGGAAATAAACACCATGCTCTACAAATATGACCATTCAACCCCAATAACAACCCCACAAGTGAGAGAGTATACTTGGCCCCATTTTATAGGGGGAGATTGAGGCCCAGAGAGGTTGAGTGACTTACTCAAGGTTACCAGCCAATAGGTGGTGGAACTGGGGAGCTGGGATTCAAACCTACACAATGGGCTCCAGCACACATGCTCCTCTACACCAGGCTGTCTGGCGGCCGAGCAAACACACACCCCCTACATCGTTCCAGCCACTTAAGAACATCCTTGCCTTAGAGTAAAATAAAAACAGAGATGAAGACAAACCATAAGAGACTCTTAAATATGGAGAACAAACATGGTTGCTGGAGGGGATGTGGGTGGGGGGATGGGCTAAATGGGTGATTGGGCACTAAAGATGAGCACTGGGTGTTGTTATGCAAGTGATGAATCACTAAATTCTATTCCTGAAACCAGTATTACACTATACGTTAACTAACTTGGATTTAAATTAAAAAAAAAAAAATATATATATATATATATATTTGAGGGGCACCTGGGTGACTCAGTAGTTAAGTGTCAGACTTTGGCTCAGGTCATGATCTCACAGTTCATGAGTTTAACCCCTGCATCAGGCTCTTTGCTATCAAAACAGAGATGCTTCAGATCCTCTATCCCATCTTTCTTTGCCTCTCCCCTGTGTGTGCCTTCTTTCTCTCTCTCAAAAATAAATATACATAGATATGGTATGATATGATATGATATGATATGATATGATATGAAGGAGAAAAAAACTAAGAAAGAAAATCCTTGCTTTTAGTTCAATCACGGCCTCCTGTGGCTTGGTGTGCTCTGATTACATGAGGTCTGAGTCCCCTGCTGCCTGACCTGGGGGAATGGAGCCGAACGTGGGCTGAGAGCCAAGCAGCGGAAGTTCCCCAGAGGAAAGTCAGGATATTATCACCAGAAGAGGGGTGAATAGATGCCAAATTTCGAAAACAACAGAAAACCACACAGATTAATGTCAGATTGAGCCCACTCCTAACAACTTGGGCCATTTATAGATTAATCATCCCACATATGCTTTTCAAATCACCCAGAGCACCCCAAAATTCATGCCCAAACTTTCTCAGCAGATTTGCTTGTAAGATGTTTACTTGATTTCCTGGGACATTTGTGCTTTCCATTCTTCTTCTATTCCAACACAGAGGCTAAAGGCCAAATATCTCAGCTGGGAGGAGGAACACATTCTTGAATATCTAAGAGGCAACTGCAAGGAATGTGTTCTTCAGAACAGGCTCAAAACAAAACAAAGAAACCAAAAACTCAAAGCCTCAAGTAAAATTCATTGAAAGTAAGGGTAGTGAAAATCATTTGCTGACTTAAAATTTTGATTTGTTTTTTGTTTTGGGTTTGTTTGTTTTGCTTTTTTGTTTTTTAAATTTTATTTATTTATTTTGAGAGAGAGAGAGAAAATGAGCAGAGAGGAACAGAGAGAGAAGGGAGGAGAGAGAATCTCAAGCAGGTTCCGTGCCTCCATCACAGAGCACGATGCGGGGCTCGAACTCACGAACCCGTGAGATCATGACCTAAGCCAAAACCAAGAGTTAGACACAACCAATTGAGCCACCCAGCTACCCTTTGATTTGTTTTTTGTTTTTTAAAATAAACTTAACTTCTTAGAGCAGTTTTAGGGTCAGAGCAACACTGAGCAGAAAATACAAAGTTCTTGGGGTTCTGAATCCTAGAAATTGCGTGGGTTTTGACAAATGTATAATGACTATATCCACCGTTATAGTGTCACATAGAACTCTAACTTCTGGCAACCACTGACCTTTTTACTGTCTCCATGGTTTTGCCCTTTCCAGAACGTCATATAGTTAGAATCACACAATGAGGAGCCTTTCAGATTGGCTTCTTTCACTCAGTAATAGGTATTTAAAGTTCCGCCATGTCTTTTCATGGCCTAAACGCTCATCTTCTTTTAGCACTAAATAATATCCCATTGTCTGGATGTACTAAAGTTTATTTATCCATTCACTTACTAAAGGACATTTTGGTTACTTTCTGAAACTAAATTTTTTTGACCCTAAAGAGTTTTAAAATTTTGCTGATTTTACTGAGTAATTAGTAGTCAAATTCAGATTTATGTTTTAGAAAGATATTTCTTCTTGCAAAGTAATAGCTCTACTAATACTTTTTTCAAGGTATCAAAACAATCTCAGGCTCCTATGTAACTTTGAAAATTAAGAATAGTACAAAGAAGAAAATCAAGTTACTCACAACTTTATTGTTCAAAAGCAAACGTAATTTTAAAAAGCAAATATCATTATGTTAATAATGTTATACTACTTAATGAATAATTTATTAATCATATTACTGATTA